ATGATAATATTAGAGAGCTATAATATATATATATAGTATATATGATTTATATATATTTATATCACTATTATATGTAGATATACGTGATAATTAGTATATATATAATATAGTGAATATACATATGTAGGTTTACATATGACTATATAAGCATATAATACTATATATACATACTATAGAATATATTATACTATAAGATGGATATACGTTATAATATACGCTAGTATATATACTACTATATCGGAATATAATAGTAGTATATATAGTAGTATTAGTATATATAGTATATATAGTAGTAATATATATAGATAAATATACTATATAATATATAGTATATATACAGTACATATGGATATATATATAGGGTATAATCTGTATAGGTTACACTATATGGTTATAAGTAGTAGTAATTCTAACTATATATATAATATACTACTATTATAATATATACTACTAATATATACACACACAACATCAACACCACACAATAGCGTATGAGTAATAATACTAATACATACGATATAATATAATGATATAAGACTATATGTATATATATATGCATATATATAGTGCGGTATTATAATATCATATAGCTATACTATATATATATGGTATAGTACGTATTATGTACATCTTATACGTATGTATACTATAATATATATATATATATTATATATATATATATATATATATATATACATATACATATATGTAAATTTATATATAATATTATATATAATATAATATTTAGTAGTAATAATATTCTTATTCATTACACTACTATGCTATAGCTATATTACGTTAGTATATATATTATCACTATATAGTATATATGATATATATAAGGTCTATAAAATATATTATACATATACGTTTATGCATGTATATATACTACTATATGTGATATATATAATATAGTATAGTATATATCATACCATACGGCTATATTATACATATAGGCTATATACTATATATATTATACTCATAATATATATATATACATACAATTATATATAGTATTATAGTATATCCTAGTATTAGTGTCAGTATAGTATAAATATACACTACGGTAATATACTATATATATTATATATACGTATATATAATATATGTATATATATGATATACTAACTATTATATATATATATATATATCATATATATAAGATATATAATATAAACAGTAGTATGGATATATAAGGTATATATATATATATATATATGTGTGTGTGTGTGTTTGCGTGTGTGCGCCATTATATATATATGATAATGTATTTATATATATATATTACGTATATATATATATCTAGTAATATATATAAGTATGACGTATATCAATATTTACTATATATATAATATAATATATATATTATATATATTTATATCATATATAGATATATATATTGTATATATTATAGCATCATAATACTATATATATATATGTATATATATACATATAGTACTTATGTGGATATATACTAATAATAACATATTATATATACTATACTGTAGGTTAGTATATGATATATATAAAATTAGTATATATATATGGTATATATATTATTATTACATATATATATATATTTATATACATATATAATATTGATTGTATATATATATATATATTATATAATATATATATAAATATACATTTATAATGATATATATATATATATAATATATATATATGTATATATTATACATTACTAATATGTATAATGTATTGTATGTACTATATATATATACTATATATATATATATATAATATATATATATATATATATATATTATATTATATTATATATATAGTATTACTAGTATATATATATAATACTATATATATATATATATATATATATAATATATAGGTATACATATGCTATATACAGTATGTATATATATATATATATAGTGTATACTATGAATACTATATATACATATGTATATACATATGATATATATTATATTATAATATATATTATATATATGATAATATGCTACTATATATAATTATGTATGAGCATTATGTAGTATATATATATAGGTAGTACTAGGTAAGGTATATAGTAATGATAATATTTACAACATTTATGTTATATATATGCTATATATTAAAATATGATATTATATATTATATATATATGTATATAGTATAATATATATTATATAGTATATTATATACACACACCACAAACACACACACAGTATATATTTTAATAATATATTATAGTAGCTATAATATATATAGGGTAGGTATAATATACTAATATATTGTATATAATATAATATTATATATATATAATATATGCTACTAATAATATATATATATTGTAGTATATAATATATATAATATATACGTGATAGTAGTATAGTAATACTGAAATTATATAGGTATATATGATATATATATGAGTATATACGGGAATAGATATATGTACATATATGTTAATATTAATGATAGCTAGTATATACTACACATATGTTACACTGTATGTTATCGTGTAGGAGGTAGATCTGACATTATGTATATATTATATAATACTATCATACTATACTTAATAGTATATATATACCTATATATACTATATATATTATATATTATATAACTATACATATATATATATATATATATATATATATATATATACATAAATATATATATCATATATATATATATATATAGTATATTATATCATATATAAATCTATATTATATATATACATATATATATACATATATATATTATATATTATATATATATATATATATATATTACATATATATATATATATATCTATATCTATATCTATATCTATATCTATCAATATATACATACATACATATATATATATATATATATATATATATATATATATTATATAATATATATATACATAATATATATATATATATATATATATATAATCTATATTAATATATATATATATATATATATTATATAATATAATATATATATATATAATTTCTAATGGTCAAACAAATCCCATGTGATTATTCAATATAGTTATATTTATGCAATTTTGTAGTGCATAAGGTTATTTGTAAGAAATATAATTGTTTCTGAATTGAAAAAAGCACATCAGGGAACAAAAAAATAGAGATGGAAAACTTAATGGAGGAGAAACAGTAAAAAAAAACAAAAACAAAGACAAAACTAAAAAAAAAAAAAATTAAATCACAGATGAACATTGCTCATATACAGAAAGGTATGAATGAAAATGAATATCTCTTGCACTTTGAAGATATGCATTCTGTTCCATACCCTTATCTGCAAATAAAAGATGATGAAAGAGGAAGAGCAGAAGTAAAAAAATAAAAATAATATGAGAAAAAGAAGTGAAATACAAAGGAAAACAGACAAAACTACTGTGAAAAAAGAGAGCAGGTAAGAGGGGAAAATACAAAACCAAAGTAATAATGATTCAAGTATATAAAAGCTCTTTCTTGGGCTTTCCAACTAACCTGGCATACTTGAGGATTGCGTGTGGAATGGAAAGCCGTGAAACAATGCTGGAATTGACCTCATAGGGCAGGTCTCTAAGGTTGGCCACACATCCTCCTTTGACCAATTCCAAGAAACAGGAGAAGTGAGCATAGACAATGGCATGCTGCAGAGGCCAGCCTGGCACACAGGTCAGGATCTGGTCAAAGGGTTCTGGGTCAGCCCCGTATTTCAAGAGCAACTGTTAGGAGAAGGGGGGAAAAAAAGACTTTGGTTCTGACTAACTGTCTTTCAAGTTTTCTCTAGTGCTAAAAGTAATACAAATCCATAAAGGTATAGATGAATACAGTTTTTGCACTGTGTTATAATCTGCATAAATAAAATAATTGCTGTCATCTGTTCACTCAAATATCCTCTTCATATTCATCCTTATACATCGCTACTGTCTCACCTTGACACCCTCTGAGAATCCATCACGAACAGCAACTAACAGGGGAGAGCAACGATTCTTCTTGCTTCCTTCAGGATTAGCACCAGATTCAAGCAACACCTTTTGGAAAGAAACTTAGGAATAGTAAGAACAGAAATGTGTCATGTACTATACAATAATAATAGTGTTGATTTGTACATGGTCTTCAACAGTCTTTTCAAAAATGAGGAAAAGGAAGATTTTTATTATACATTATTTTATCCACTCATCATGAAACATGTTTATGCATGAATGAATGCATACATACACACATAAACACACACACAGACACACATGCAAACGCACAAGCACACACGCATACATGCCACACGCACGCACCCACGCATGCACACACACACATACACACACACATATAATTATATAATATATATACATATATAATATATCATATATATATATATATATACTAATATATATAGTAATATATATATAATACATTATAATTATATATATAATAATACTATATCACTATAGTATAAATAAATATATATAAACATATATACATATATATTATAGTATTATATATATACATATTATATTAAGCATGATATATATATATAATATATACTATATAATATATCATTATACATAACAATATATATATATATACAATATTAGTATAATACATATAGTAATATTATATATAATATATATATAGGCATATACATATACATATATATATATATATTATATATATATATATATTATATAGTATACATTATGTATGGTATAAATATATAGGTATGTATATATATATATACTATATATATATATATATAATATATAATATATATTATAATATATATATATATATATTCATATATATATCCTATATATATATTATATATATATATATTCATATATATATTATAATATATATATATATTTATATTATATATTATAATATTTATATTTATATATATATTTATATATATTATGATATATATATATATATATTACATATATATATATATATATATATATATATATATATATATATATATATATGATACATATATATATATATATATATATATATTATATATACATATATATACATATATATATATGCTTTTTGTGCATTTCCTCAACCCTAAGAGACTATATACTTTGATACATATTTGCCCTTTATGCACACATTACAGGAACCTAATGAAACATTATAATACACTCCAGCCAGCCAATCAGAGTGCAATATTTTTCAGATATATTTCATATAGTCTCAGATAGGGATCTATATTTTAATTAATTACAAATTGCATCATAAATTTCTTGACAAAAAAGTCTATTACAAAGGTGCAAAATATTTGTGTGCCTTTTTAGTATTACATCAAATACATGTTCAGTTGATTCGGGTAAAATTTGGAGTCAATCATGACTGTTGCTGCAACGACATGGGAAGAATTTCCATGTCCGAGTTACAACATAACTTTTGCTGAATGTCTTCCAAATCATTCTATACCTCTATGATATAACCTTTCAGACTCAAAAAATGAAAGAAAAGGCTGTGAATCTTGATTTGTTGATATAATTCAATCAATAAGACATGCAAATGCCCATGATCATTGGAATTATCCAGTTGTTTGCTTCAGACATGGAACTCATTTTTGGTGAAAGAAGCAAAACCTTGTGTAACTTCCACTTTTCATTTGAAAAACAATGTATTTAATAAGAAAAAGTTTTGACTAAATCTAAGAAATGTATTTCAAAGTTTCTGCAGCCTTGCAAAATGAAGAGTGCCATATATAAACAATATAAGTTGTAGACTAGTCAGGTACTTTCTCCATTATTTTTCCACCATGTTTTGCTTGTAATTAAAAATCATACCTGCATATTAAGTACTTTAACGGTTTTCTGTTTTCTGTTGTTTCTCCATGTGAAGTTAAGAAAAATAATTTCCTTTTCTTTCAAAACTTTGTATGTCAGTACAACCTTTGATGACAACTTGTTTTGCAGCGACCATGATACATCATGAAACAATGTGTTAGGGGTTTCAGGATAGTACAAAAAAGGCTTTATATGTATATATATATATATATATATATATATTATATATATATATATATATATATATATATATATATATAGACAGATAATTAAAAGTAAACGTTTTTCATACCTTCATTAATTCTGTTTTTCTTGTAGAAGTTGCAACAAAAAGTGGAGTCTGTCCCTTAACATCTTCTAGTTCAATATCTGCTCCAGCTTCTATTAGAACTTTTGCACACTCCACACTTCCTCCTGTCACATAGTTTATTGTAGTAATTTTGCATATATTACCCACAGAGAAAAGAAAGAAAGAAAAAAAAAAGAAGATTCTACAGACAATTCCTCCAGGTAAAAGGTAAGCCATTTAGAGATCTGATTAAACTTTAGAAGACACTAACAGTGGCTTTCAAACTGGGATATTCCTGTAATTATATCGTACGTTATCCAAATGAACTTCCTGTAATTTGTGATGGATGGCTTTAAATCTAAAGTCTATCACGAAAGTAGTATGGTGTTAAAGCCATTATACTTTTTCCACTTTTGCATAAGTGAATAAACCTTTCATGTATATTTTGGTAAGAAAGAGTTTGAATTGGTACCTTAATTCACAATAAGTTCCCCCCAAAATCTACCAGTTCTATCTTGCTAGCTGACTTTTCATAGATGTTTGTTGACCTTTGCTAGAGCACTAATAAGCATGGGAGACATGAATATGACTTATAGTAATTAATTACCTCAGTTATGAAATATAAATCTACAAAAAAAAAAAAAAAAAAAGGTAGAGAAAAATACCAAGTTCTATTTACCTGACACAGCTAATCGAAGAGGGGGTGCCAGGTATGGTCGCACTCTATGGTTGATCCACTGGAGAGACTCAGGTTCGCTTAGAATTTTTCTCATACCTTCGCCATCATCACAAACTGCTGCCAAGTGGAGGCGGACATCTTCATCGTCATCTCCATCCACCATCAAGTTCATCATATAGGCCTGAGCAGAGACCTGTTCTGGGAGTCTCATCACGTCGGCCATTCTTCTTCTTGAACTGGGCTTTGATCTGGAGGAGCTAATCCATGTTAGTAAATTGTTAAAATTTTCTGTCAATGCTGGCTAAAGAAATATGACACACTTTTAATCAGTTCATCTTCAAAATAATAGTTCTAAGATATTACATTCCAAAACATCAAAACAAGTAACTAATTTAAAAATTGAAAGAGAGGATAGAAGGGCAGAGAAAAACAGCCAGAAAGGGATTAATACTAAAAATCGAAAGGCATCTAACATATACTCCAGAAAGTTTTAACCCTGAAGTCCCATTTGCCACAATTGTAGCAGGGCACACACTGTGTTGCCAATCCTTTTTGCTATGATTGTAAAGGCCTGTACATGGTGTACATGTAGCTTGTGACTTTTCCATGATAAATGAGATCACCCTCGTACCCCAACACCCCTTGTAGACCTTCCTCTCCAGAAGCCCATAGAAATGCTGCGTTCTCCTGCTTCCCCCTTCTCATAAATGAAATGTCAAGAGTGTGAAGCAGTAACTCTAGTGCTGAATGACATATTTCATACCTTCCCTCTCTACACATCATTCAATTATGTACCACACAACTACTTCCTGGTATATCATCATACTATTACAATTTCTATATAATGATGGCTATAAATACATATACAAATCTTATTGTTTATATGTGTTCTATCTATATCTATAGTAATCTATACCAAAATTCATTCAAACTCTTCTAGTTATGTGCTTTACTGACACTCTTAGCATTTGCAGATATATTTTCTGGAGCAAAAATGATTCTCCTGAAATGTCTGCAACTAAAATTTGCTTTTACTAAACTTTAAAAAATCAGATTTTTTTTCCGCTGGGGGACATACAATCTTTAAGGGCCATAATCTCAATACTTAATGTGGAGTGTCCACATCACACATCTGATGATGATGATGCTTTAATTCAGTCTGGGAATTAGGATATGTATACACATATATTCTGTCCTAAAACAGGGGACAACTACAAAACTCTATGAAACATGTCATACTCTGTTGACTGGTCAGAGAGAGGAGGGGAGATACATGCTCATAACATAAAAAAAGTTTGAGTATCTAGTTCATAAGTTTTAACAGCACCCTGGTAGCAACTGATCTTATATACTGGCTACTTAAACTAGACTTGGTGTGTCTAAGTTGGCTTCTAATGGTACTATAACTGCATTGAAATATTCAATGAAATTCCAAGGCATTCCTAACCAATAGGTCCTCATTATTGGAAAATAACCAGTAAGATCTAGTCAAACAGCTTACTAAAATAACCAGTAGGATCTAGTCAAACAGCATTCTATGTCTGGGTCCCTTTATTTCCAAGATCGCGGGCATAAGGTTAAAATTCCCAGTATAAGTTATGCACAGAGATAGGGGAAATGGACACCACCATCCTATAGTACATAAAAAATAGAGGGAAAAATAACATAGACACAGCTGTAGCAACCATATTTTACCAAGAAATGATGAAACAAAAATATCTGCTGCATATCACCGCTCAGAGACTAAGTACACGGCACCCACACACAGCCAGAGTTCTTAATGTGTTTTCTATAAGCTGGCAGAAAGTGCTAATAAAAGGGTGGTACGAGGGGCTTCCCTCCCAGCTAGTGAATAAATATAAGGTAGGAATGGTTTGTTTTGAGTTTTTGGTTATGCATAATACCCTTGTTTTGGAACTTTATCTCTGGAAGGTGCATCACTCAGTAACAATTACCAAATTCCTCTACTTGAGTCTTGTTACAGAGTCAGACAAGGCTATTGACATCTCGACTTGAACAGTGAATATAGAATACTGGCCATTATACCTGTGAGAGTCCCAAAATTCATTAACTACTTACCATTGGAGTTACATAGACATAAATACACATTTGAATATATTGGGTGCCAGAGAAAGAGCCACACCATCGTCTTAATGAAAATTGCCTAACAAAATAAGTGTGCAAATTAAAGACTATAACAATTTAAACAAAAAGAGATTCTTTAATTTGCAATTTATGCATCAGATTAGTTTTTACAAATATTACCTACATGTACGATCAAACCACCAAACAAACGTGAAAGTAGGCGTGAGCTGCCTTACCTGCGACTGGCCCGCTGTAGTTGCGGTCCAAGAACCTAGTTTTGCGATTATTTTTAGCATGGTCGCTTCTGTACTTCATCCCGAGTCCGTCCAGCCTCGCCCCCACTTCCAAAATAGAACCAGCTGAGAGGAGGATGCTGATCTCCTCAAAGGCAGATCCGAACCTCTTCCGCCGCCGTAAGGAGCACTCGATCCTCTTTGGGAAAAATTTTGGACATGTCAGAGATTTGCGAAAAATAAATATTCCTTGCAGTCAAATACATTTCCGGAGCAATGGAATAATTATATATGATATACAGAAGATAAAACCTTTCTTTTCTTAGATTATGATCACGTGACATAAAAGATGTAAACAATGCTGCCTTCGAAGTGGCCCTCCTATTGGTCGAGATCCGACTTCTCGCCACGTGATTGGCTGAGGCGACCGGAGCGCGGTGAAGATAACAACAGCTGTGTTTACAAATACAACTCGTCATTGCTATTCTGCGACGCTAATTCACAGCACTACAAAACACCTTTATATTATTATGATTACGCCAGATCAGGAAAGTAAAGGTTCAAGGATGATGTGGATTTTGGGCGTGTTGTTTTGCCACCTAGTTGTGGTGAGAGCTGGTTGTGATATTGATAAATCCGTAACCAACCAGACCGAGAGGAACCTTCAGACCAATTTACTTCAGAAACTCAACCAGATTTTTGGCATGAGGTGAGTCACTGGCTTTAGGAGGTGTGTGTAACTGAAAACTGCAACTTTTGATTTGAAATATATATCTTTCATGGAAAAATGTACAATAAGCCAAATTTATATTGCAAAATGGTAATTTTTTTTGTACAATATCCTAGACTGGAAACTTTTACACTTAAAAGTATACTTTTTACGGTTTATTTTCCCATATTTTTTTATAGTAGTATTCTGTCATAGTTGAAGACATATC